CCCGATAATAGAGAAATGGTTAAAAATGATAATCACTTCAGATCCAAAACATTTGAAAAACCATTATTTTCAACATATTGTTTTTATAAATAAAAAGTGTTTTTATGATGTAGATAGATAGATAGATACATATATAATATATACATACATATAGAATTTTAATCTTGAAATCTTAACTTAAAAATATAATTGATCATAAAAAATTATAAAACGTAGAAGATGAAAAAAATGTTACAAGAATAAAAGAAAAGAAGACTTTTACATAAACTGCATGGCTTGTAATAGACAATTTTAATTTTAAAATATACTCTATTATAAATGTCCTTTATTGAGACAGATTGTAATATTTATCAATAAACAAAAAAAAAAAATTTTAAATATAATATATCATAAAAAGTTATAAAGTAAAGAAGAAAAAATAAAATGTATTCTATTGAAAAGGTTGGCCAGCCTTGGCTGAAGAGAGCTTTGCGATTATATTCATAATATAATTGGTGTAATCTGTGGTGGTGGTTGAGGAGACTGCATTGGAGATTACCTCCAACATGTCGTTATTTTCTCTCTTATCACCTAAAATATTTCTAACAATACTTTTAGTAATTTTTTTAGAAAATTGATATACAGGATTTAGAGTTGGTAGGGGTGCCCATCCCCCCCCCCCAAGGTCTATAGGGCATTAACAACCTACTCCCACCCTTCCCAAGATATTTTATTTATTTCCTCTTCTTAAAAACAGTGCAAACAAAATGAGAATTTAAAAACTCGGTAGATTATATACAATTACACTACGTTCTATGCTTTCACTTGTCTTTTCATTTCGAAAATGCATAACCCTATCGAAATGTGGCCTCTCGAAAATTCAAAACCCCGTCAAAATGTGCCCCTCTCAAAAATATTGATGGCGCAACTTGCGCCATGATGATGATCATAAACCCTTCTATTTTCAATGGTGTCGATAGAGCTCATCCAATCTAATTCCCTCGATACCCTCATCGGTGTTATTCTCAATGGCTCCAATCCATTGCCAATAGAGGATTTGAAAAATGAATATTTCTTGAAGAAAGAACATTGTCCATGTACCTTGGTTGCGGCCTGGAATTGTTTTTCTATACCTTCTTCTCCATATGTTGCAATAGTTTACGTAGAAAAATTTAATTGCTAAATGATCGTGTTTACGCACACAGCTCTAAAGAACCTCAGGAAGTCATTGAAAGAGTGAAAAGAGGTCATCACTCTTCCTCAGTGATGGTTGGTGGGGAGTTTGCTTTGATGGCATCACAAAGCTCCATTTTTGTGAAAAAGGAGTTAACAGCCGCTAAAAACTATCAATACGATACTTTGGAACCTGTTATCAAGCCTCTAAATGATACTCTGTTTGCTTGAAGTGATTGGGTTTTCCAGTAGGATTTCGCTCCACCTCACAAGGCCAGGTCAACTCAGCAGTTGCTGCAAAAGGACATTCCAGAGTTCATCTCTGCCTCGGATAGGCCCTCAGGAAGCACTAATGGATCCAGCCGGGGGGCGTGCCCTCCCCCCTCTCCTTCTGGAAGCTGGAAAAAAATTCTGAAAAAAGAGTCAAAAAACACCTTTTAAAGAAAAGAGAAATGTATGGAAAATTCATCCTGATACTCGAATGTCCTAATGTAATATAAACAAAAAATTATTATTGTGACCAGCACTAGCAAATTCTGCCAGGGAGCGCGCTCTCCCTTGGATGGTGAAAAAAAAAAACAACCGAAAAACACCTATATAAAGAAAAGAGAAATATAGGGAAAATTCATCCTCAAACATGAATTTCCTAAATTCCTAAAAAAAAATTATCGTAACCAGCACTAGCCAATTCTCCCAGAGTGGGCGCCCTCCTAGAATGGTGGACATTTTTTTTCAAAAAAACAATTATTTTAAAGAAAAGAGAAATATATGAAAAATTCATCTTCTAAAACGAATTTTCTAATGTGATATAAAAAAAAATTATTATCGTGACCAGTAATAGCGAATCCATCCGGGGGGCGCTCCTCTCTCTCCTCTGGTTGGTGGGGGAAAAGTTCCAAATAGCAGCTATTTAAAGAAAAGAGAAATATATGAAAAATCCATCCTCATAGTCGAATTTTATAATGTATTATAAAAAAAAGTTATTATCATGACCAGCACAAGTGATTTCTGCTAGGGGACGCGCCTCCCTCTGGGTGATAAGAATCTAATACCGAAAAAAGTGACAAGAACACCTATTTATAGAAAAGAGAAATATAGGAAAAAATTATCCTCTAAAATGAATTTTCTAATGTGATCAATATCATCATCCCGAGCTCGACAATCTATTACTGGATCTGGGTTGCCTCAAGAGTAGTCCTCCATGTTTCCCTGTCCTAGACTCCACCAGTTCCTCATTCAATGGATTCTGGCATCAGCACTTACTCCATTTTCCATCTCAGTTACGGCCTTCCCACTTTTGTTTTCCACCCGGCTCCATGCTCAGCAGCTTCATATATTTCACCACATCCGTCTCCTTGTATAAGTTGGCTAGTTCTTGGTTGCATCTAATTCTCCATACATCATTCTCCTTAACTGGGCCAAATATCCTCCGAAGGACTTTACTTTCAAACTAATATTTTAAGCAGCTGTTTAATAGAAGAGAAATGTAATTTTATAATGCAATATATAAAAAAAAATATTATCCAGACCAGTACTAGCGAATTATGCAGGGGGGAGACCCTTCCCCTGGATGGTGGACAAAAAACAGCTATTTAAAGAAAAGAGTGATGTAGTTTTTGGGCCGCCGTAAAATGCGAAGGCTTGTGCTTCTGTCGCAGTTTTGTTCCTATGGACTCCGAACTGAGTCTCGCAGGTGAAATACATCGTGGAGGAAAATTTATTTTAAAAAAAATGAACTTCATTTATTCTTTCGAACAATCTTTTATTCGAGCACAAGGAAATACAGGCTTTCTCTCGGACCCAGTTTTTATTCAGTTTCAGTACATCTGGACGCATTGCAACCTCTAGCAACTATAGTCTCCTTGAAGAGTCCATTCGATTCATAAAATTTGTCAGGATAATAATTTGTATATTTCTAATTAGAAAGTGCTGTTCTTTTCTAAAATAGCTGCTGTTGGGAACCTTTTCATGAAGTAAGGTACTAATTAGTTGGTCTCAGATTTGATCGGTATCTGATTATGATCGGAATCGGAAATTATTCATTTTTTTTTTCTTAGAGAACTCATTTCCAAGCTGCAGGGTCATTTATAGTATCTTTCTCAGATTTTGACAATGTCGGTAAACATTAGCGTTCATTGACCGAGGTTATCGACCATATTACTTAATCAAATTATTAAGTTTAGGTACTAGTTCAACGCACAATTTGACATTCTTTAATTTCATAAAGAATAAGTTTTTCGCTTCGATGCACTGTTTAGTAGTAATACATGAAAAAAAGATCAGATAAATCTGGATTTTTTGGCTGTAAAACGTTTTCTCTTGGTGGCCCGCGTTAGCAATTTAGTTTTTAACATGTCTAAACCCATACACAGGATGTATCGTAGGGAATTAAAGTTTTGTGATGTTTTATGTGTCACGTTTTTTGTTGAATAACAAAAAACCTATTTAATTTAATTAATTAACGATTGCTTCACTGTAAACTAGACAAAATTTACTTTAAATAAAAATAGAGTTTGCTTTTGTTAAAACCATTTAAAGACGACTGTTGAGCGGCTAAACTCAGCTATGGAGTGGGAGGACGGGTAGTGATGGGGGAATGGGTAGAGGTGGGGGAAGCACCTGGTATAGAGGTGCGGCTCCTACTGAAAAAATCCCTGGATCCGCCACTGTCAGGAAACCCTGATCTCAAGTCACTAGATTATCAAGTTTGGTCCGAACTGGAGAGGATGGAATGCCACAGAGTGCACTCTAGTTTGACAAGCTTAAAAAAGCCCTGGTCCGAGCAGTTGAGCGTTTTCCTCAAGAAGTGCTGCGTGCTGCTATTGATGACTGGCCACGGAGATTAAATGGCCGTGTCAAGGCAAAAGGGGAATATTTTGAGTAATTTCTTTTTTGTTTTACTCTCTATATATAAACATTTTATTATCTAATTAAGTTTTTGAAAACAAAATAATTTTTCTGTTGAAATCTGTATATATTTCCTTGTAACAATATTTATGACAGGATTAACACTAAAAAACTAACAGATTTTAATAAGAAGTTAAATAATTATAAAAGGATCAATTGGGTCAATCATGGATCATTATTACTTAAAATATGGCGTGGATAAAACCAGCTTTTTTGTCGTTATGCAACTGGAAGTATCACAGCCACTAAAGACATGTAACACTGGCAGAATGATACATATGATTGAACCAAGAGAAACATTGTAAAAAACATTATATATTATTTTTTCCTCCTTGGAACCACAAACCCTAGATATCCATCTTCGAAAATAAATTCCAAAAATAAATTACTAGTTGTTTTATTTTTCTAATGTGAATTAGTTTGATTTTTTTTTCTTCCAAAAATAGACATTATGAGTGGAGAACTTGGAAACTGTCTGAACCCTCAGATTTTATGATGTCTTTCAGCAGTACTATTGTTTTATTTTTCTAGGATTATATGAATAAAAAGAGCTGTAGTCAGGTTGTAGTAGTGATAGTCAGATTATTGGAAAGATTAAAGAAGTATGAGAACCATGGCATTAGTTTAATTGGGGTTATTATATAGGGTATTGTTAGTTGCTTAATATTTGACAATAGTGTATAGTTAGTTGCTTATGCATTGGCAATCGTTCTCAAGGCTCAGAATTAAATTTCTGTGCCTCACTTATTTGATGATAAAATGGATATATATGATCTAATACTGTAGAAAACTGATGTTAAATAATAAAAAACTGAATTTTACTTTAGAGATGAATTATTTAATAAATTTCATCTAAAGTAATTTAACATTACTTTTTTTTTTTACATCTTCATTTGCATTGCTATGCATTTTAAGGAACAGGTAAATAAAATTTCAAAATAGAATTTTTAGAAATTTATATTTTAAAGTTTTACATTCACTTTAATTTTCATATTAACCGTGCCTTAATGTCTACAATATTGCCATTTTTAAATATATGTAATAATTATTAAATATGTGTGTTTTGACTATTAAAGGGTAAAATTAACATTTTATTTCTAATAATATATTATAGACTCATATTTACACACATGTTCAATTTATTTTACAATTTATGATGGAATAATTATAGAAAAGAAATAGTTCCAATTTGAAAGACACATACATTCTCTCTCATATTAATAAAACTAAACAAAACAAAACATACATTATTTACAAAATTCCTTAAAGTTATAATTTATGTTAGCCATAATATTCATTAGGAAAATGAATGTTATATTGTTACTAATTATATGAAAATCAAATTTGGGAACTAAAACTTTTAACGTTTTTTTTTCTAACATTGATTGTTGCATTTGTTTTTAAAGTCTTAAGAATATTCAGAACTATGTTGTTTAGTTAAGTTTCAATCTCAGATGATTAAATAAAAATAAAAATAAAAAATGAGCCTGAAACACAACAAAGCAACATAATTTAAAAAACACTGTGAAAGCTATACGCAATATTTTATTTATTTAATTTTAATAAGAACATTAACGCTGTGCACTAAAGTACTTGTTTTGTTCAAACATTTGAACTGTGATTTAAAAAAATACATATTAATTATATCGCAGTGTGAGAATACGAGGAACATAACCCAAAATTGTTTACACCAGAAGTTTTGATAATGGACCACTATCATTTCAAAGAGCAGCCAGCTCTCAAGTAGCTAGCAAAACCAATAAGAAATAATAGGTGGTCTTAAGGTGGAGCAATATGAACAAACACCCTCGGGGCTTCTATGCAGGACGGTTTGTGTTTGGTATAACAACAATTTTTGAGTTGTGGACCTTATATTCATACAATCTGATGTATTTTCAAAAATTCATTGAAATACTTAGTGCCAACGTAAATTAGTGTTTTATATTATCAAAGCAAATCATTAAAGAAATAGTTTCATCTAATTATTAATGCCCTTTGAGGAACACAAAACACATTGTTTCATTGTTTTTGACTAGTGTATCATTTATTTATAAATTAGTGCTGAGTTATTAACAGCTGCCAACTAATAGTTAAATCTACAGTGTTGAGCATGCACAAATCTAATTTTAATGACAAATAAAACAGTGCTCAATACCAAATACATTTTTATGAAATTTAAATATATCTTTTACTAAATACATTGATAAAATCTACTTACATTAAATGAATGAAAAAAAAATACAGGCAGTGATCAATACCACCTTTATAACTAAGAATTATTTAAATATTAAAATTTTATTATCATTCATATTATTTTATAATTATTTTTAATATATACTTTATTCTTTGGTCTTAAATTGTGAAAGAGATGGTTGATAATTACTTATTCGTTGTATTGTTGAAACAACATACATTTTCCATTTTTCTCTAACATTATATCTGGCACCAAAAGTTTTCCTTTTGATTATAAATATTTATGGGAGAATTGAAATGATTCTTTGGTTATAATGAGAGCTGTTCACTATCTTGTTTGATTAACCCAGCTTTCATTTATATTTATATTACTTATTATATAACCATGTATAATAAATCATTAACAATATTTTATAATTTATTATTTACTGTACCATTCGGAAACAGGTTCAATGGTATAGTACTCACAGATTCTCAATCTAGTCTTTGGTTTTATAGATTTTTTCTCCGACAAAGCATCTGTCTAATATTTTTCATGAAACTCCTGTATTTGAGTTGCTAACTATCAATTCAGATCATAATGAACTAAACAATCTTGGTACCAGATATAATAAATTTCTTTTCACACTCCATACGGATATTGCTTTTCCATCTCTGTTCAAGAAGTAGTATTCTTCTCCAAGCCAAGGATTTTAGCAGCATCTGTGGGGCCTTTTTCAATCATTGTGTCCACCAGGGACTTGTCTCGTATCCCCAAGAGATTGCCTGGAATTAAATAGATCATCAGATAATCTTGTATTATTTAAATCTTGACAAATATATATTTTTTCTTTTTTCAGATTTATTTATATTTAATAATAAACTGGTACATTTTTCACAAGTTCTTGTGTGTGTATATATATATATATATATATATATCATCAGATAATCTTGTATTATATATATTTTTTCTTTTTTCAGATTTATTTATATTTAATAATAAACTGGTACATTTTTCACAAGTTCTTGTGTATATATATATATATATATATATATATATATATATATATTTATATTTATTTTGTATAAAATAAAAATAGAATATGGGAGAGGCTCTTAATTAGAATTGGTTTATGATAGTTGCAAGTAGTTTTATAATATCAGTGATTAAATTTTCCTAACCTGAGTTAAAGCAGGTATAAATATTTTTTTTTTTATGTCTTAAGATTTTACGTAAAATCCTATTTTGCCAGAATGAAAATTTAATCTTGTTCAACCAATAAGTGATTTAAAGTTTAATTTTTTGTTTACTAAATACGTTTAATTAACTGAGTACTCAGACTACTGTGGTATGAATTTAATTCCTGCATGGGGATGATAATACCCTCACCCTCAGATTCACAGGTACATTACCAATCCCTGTGTCTTATATCATAGTTCTTGTTCCTCCAGGTTTGGAGTTGGGTATAGGGCTAAAATAACCCAATCCCGTAAAAAAACACATTAAAATATATTAGTATCTATAAATCCCGTGCAGTCTGGCACATTTTTATCGTTACTGGTGGAGTAGAATAGTGTATGGCCGTCGATAATGGTTTTGCCACCATCTGGCCACCTTACCTCTTGAATGACTGTTAGCGGTATGTTATACATTTTTACTTCCTTGACTACCATTTTTGCGGCTCTATATAAACTGCATATAAACTATCATCTGCATATAAACTACCTGCTCTATATAAACTACATACGTTCCAAGATCCAATGTATAGTCCGTGATTCAAAGCCAACGTCGTTACCATATGTAGACATTCCGATTTTCCGAGGGTTAGTTTAGGTTTCTTAATAATATTGGTATATTTACATTATGTTAATAAAAATAAAGGTTCGATGGAATTTTTTTTTTTTTGTCTTAAGATTTTACGTAAAATCCTATTTTGCCAGAATGGAAATTTAATCTTGTTCAACCAATAAGTGATTTAAAATTTAATTTTTTGTTTACTAAATACGTTTAATTAACTGAGTTCTCAGACTACTGTGGTATGAATTTAATTACTGCATGCAGATGATAATACCCTCACCCTGAGATTCACAGGTACATTACCAATCCCTGTGTCTTATATCATAGTTCCTGTTCCTCCAGGTTTGGAGTTGGGTATAGGGCTAAAATAACCCAATCCCGTAAAAAACACATTAAAAAACCTAAAACTCTAACTTCAGAGAATCTGATTATCTTATCATGATAAGGGTCCCAGATTTTTATCTTGGTCTCTATATAGGATCATGAAATGTTCATAGATTATCACGAGTCACCAAAAGAGTAGTCAATGAACTAAAAATTTATATTATACTGTTAACAGCCATACAAGAGGTAAGATTGCCAGAAGGTGAGGAAACCATTATTGGTGAGCATACACTATTCTACACTGAAAGAAATGAAGAAACTCGAATAGCTGGCATTGGGCTTAAAGTTAATTAAATGAAAATGAATCATAAATTTTACCCTGATTAACGACGTAATAAGTGTATTATGATTTAGAGGTGGTTTAGAACTATAGATCTTAATATGTATGCACCAATTGAACATAAAGATGATTAGGTAAATATTATTCCAATGACCAGTAAGAAAATGTTGTGGACCAAGCTCATATATGCCATATAAAATAAGTGACAGCTGATTTAAATGTCAAAATAGGACAAGAAGCCTAATTTAGGTCCATTATCCAAAGTCTTCAAGAAACAAGCAATGGCAGTGGAATGAGATGTATTAGTCTGGCAGCAGCTAAGGGTCTAATAGTCAGATACTATCATTGATTGTGATTTGGGGATTGACCACATCTTGATTAGAATTAAACTATGCCAGAGATTGAAGCAACAAATCTTTAAAACAAGGGATCTACAGAGGGATATAAAATAAGTGGAAAGCTAAAAGAAACAGCTAAGAAAGAAATAATATTCAGGAGAAATGAAAAACCAAGGAGTAGTTGACAGAAGCTGATTATGATTATAGTTTCAAAATATATGTCAACAAAAACCTATTTAAACTTGATCCTCAAAATAACTATCCATTTCGTAACGATCATACAAAGATTTATTCCGAATTTTACCACAATGTCCAATATATGATTGAATCCAACATAATATTTTATTCCAATTTCATAAAAATGAAAAAAAAATTAAGAAAGTGCAGTAAAGAAAGTGCAGGATATGAAGTGAACAAACAAATATGAGGAAAAGAAGGCATTCTGGCAACATCAAAAGGAGATAATAAACATCCAGCAGCTTCTCAATCCAGGAGAACCCGTGAATAAAAAAGACATATGTGGACATATTTTCCCTGAAAACTAATCTCTAAATAAACTAATAAACACACAAAAAAAGCACTGTGCCTTTTGCTTATATTTCAAAACTATTTAATCTGAAGTAATATTCATAACCTGATTTAGCATGCCAAAAAACATAAGGACTTTTCAGCAAAAAAAAATTGATTTTTTTCCCTACAAATCCTTTATTGACTACAACGATTTTCTTTTTTTTTACAAAAAAATGTATGAAATACCATTTAAAATATAATGATTAGAAACGGTATTTTATATTTTTTGTAATTTACTTGATGTATTCATACTAATACAGTTGTAAATATCATAATAAAAGTTTAAAAAAAAAAAAAAATATTTTTTGTTGTAAAACACGACAAAGGAAATATGAATTTACTAATAAAAATCCAGAAAGTTCTTTATAATAAATTTTCAGTAACCACTATAATGACTCCTAAAATATTTTTGAAAAATAAATATGTCTATAACTGGTAGAATGAACATTTTGAGTTATTTACTTTTAAGTTCATAAATATTAAGAATAAGTGAAGTTAAAAGTACCTATGAGGTCAGACTCAGGTTCCTCTTGCTGGTCGTGTTTTTTTCTATGTCTAAGCATGGAATGTTTCAGAGTAAACTTTCTTGAACAGACTGAGCAACTAAAGGGCCTTTCTCCAGTATGTGTTCGCATATGCCTCCTAAGATCTTCAGCTGACCAAAACCTCCTTAAGCAGAAGGCACACACCACCTAAAATTAAATATGTATTATTAGTCATAATTTAAATCATTTATCAGTAATGTTCAGGCTTTTGTTGTGTATTACTTATTGTAATTCAGGTTTTTTGAAAGAGCTGAATTTTCAATTTCTTTTTTTAATGTCTAATTGATTACATTTATTTTTTTCCATTTGATTTAGAAATCAGTATTAGATTTAGGATATGTATGTTAGGAATCAGTTAGGAGGAACAAAATATTAATTTAATTAAGTTGTTTTATTTAGTTCCTAACCAATTTTTTGACACTCATGGCCAAGATATCATTATCAGAATTGTTTTTGTACTGTTTCTTTGTTTTTCAATCTTTGCCCATAATATTCAACCTAGCCCTCCTAAAAGCAATCAGAACAATTAGAACCAACCACAGAGGGAATATTTATAATATACTAAACCAACTTATAGCTTGTGTAGATTGATGTAACCATCATAGCATCCAGAACTCAAGTAAGTAGAAAAGAATAAGAAGAAGAAAAAAATTAATGGACACCAGTTCAAGCGCTACAAGAGTTCAAAATAACTAGGATTTCTTGTAACAGAAGAGAATGATATAAATACAGAGATCAAAGCCAAAATAGTAGCTGGTAGTAGGTGCCTTTTTGTGATGAATGTGGTGCTTAAATTCTGAAAATTGTCTCGATCTGCAAAAAACACTTTATGGAAGGCTATAATAAAACCATTTGTCACATATGGAAGTGAGTGCTGAGGAATGACTGGTAAAAGATCATAACAATTGAAGGATTAGAAAAAATATGCTTGAATAGCTTTTTGGTAAGTCTAATATTGGTAACCTAATATGTGGCCATCATCAAAGAAGATAATGAATGGTAGATGGGACTGAGAGGATGATGAAGGAAGGTGGAAGAATGATTAAGTGAGGCCAATATCCAACAAGGGATGTAGTGCCATTTAGTTAGTTAATCTGTTATATTTACTTTACGGTTGGCGTAGTCCGCTCTTTGCCTAGAATCATCTTCTTCATCTTCACAACTGGATTCTAAGGCTCCCTTTGAAACCAAAGAATCATACTCTGGTCCATGTTTTTCTTTTAAATGAGATAGGGTTTCCTGTCGTTCTGCAAAAGAAGTATCACATAGGTGGCACTTGAATGGCATTTCAGATCCTGGAAAATAAATGATGCTTACAAACTTCAGAAAAAATAAAATATTTGGAACTTGGTAGATAATTTTTCTTTTCTCACAAATAAAAGTTGTTATACTCTTAGATTATCATGATTAAAATTAGTCAGATTAATGTAAAAAATGAATTGGATTAAAAATGAATGTTTATAATAGATCATTATAATGTATTATATGAATTTAGAAAACAATTACCTTCCACCATATGTTCTTGTTCAGTTTCGAGTTTCTGCCTTTTCGCTCTGTCGCCAGAACCATGCTTTCTCAAGAGATGCCTGTCACAATTACTCTTGGTTGTAAACAGAAGAGGGCAATGGGGACATTTGAAAGGCTTTTGTCCAGTATGTGTGAGAATATGTCTCCTCAGTGAACTCGACCATGGAAATTTTCTATAGCAGTAGGGGCAGGATACTCGATTAGGAGCTAATGAGTAGGCACTCTTTTTCTTATTCTCTGGCTCAGATCTAGATAAAGAAATTAATTTCAGTCAAATTAAGGGAAGGCTGAATTTATATATTTATATGTTAAGAAATATTTACTAAAACTCATGATAGGCTGATCTACGAGGGAGGGGGAAGAATCTCGGGCTGAAGCCCCCAAAATGGAAAAATAATTTTTAATAAGGTCTTCATTTGTTACTGTGAGTGATCTAAGCTAAATACTTAAACAATATCAATTATGCATGTACAGTTACTAAAAATAACCATTTCTTATGAAAAAAAAATAATCTTTAAAAGTATTATTGTTCCTGTAATTGCAGTTTTAATAGGACTTCAAGAATCACTTAAACAGCAATTAATACTGGTAGTTAATTTGTTTGTTTTTTTCTACCCAAGTAATTATCGTTATACATATAAAAGCTTTTAGGCTGAAGCCTCCCTAAATTAAATCTTGGATCCACTACTCGAGAAGAGTTATATAGCTGGCAATGTTCCAGATTTAAATAATTAACATTGCAGAATTAATTTAAATAGTATGGTAAATACTGTTTCTGTCTGTTTAAAATACACAAAAATATCTACTGCATGAGTGCCCAGAAGGGAGTTTCATATTGCAAGTTGCACCATTAAAATGTTTGAGGTGGATGTATTTTTGGAATGAAAAGTTTCAAATCAGGGGACAAGGGGAAAACATGGAACAGACCGCAGCAAGTGTAAATGTATATGATCTGCGCTTTTTAAAATTTATTTTCGCTTGTACCATTTTTAAGAAGAGCAGAGGAATATAATATCTTGGGCGGGAGGTAAGGTTCATGTGCCATCGACGTTGGGGCAGATGAGCACTCCTGATGTAGAGTAATCTATTTGTATTAGAGATTTCCTCAAAGATAATTAAATAACATGCACTAATTAAGAAGAATACTTTAATTTAATTGTCAAATGGCATTAATTTAAAAAGTGCAAATTGTCAGACATGTGATTAAAAATTTTAAATTTTCATAAGATACTACCAATACTCACTTATCATCACTGCTATTGTCACTGGCTGATGCTACCAGCCCTTCTTCATCGCTCACTTCTTGTTTGTCCCCAAAGAATTGTTGAAAGGTTCCTCTAGCATTGTCTAGAAGCCGTGAAACTGTTGCCAGGTCTCTTAAATCCTCTTCTCGCCTCTTTAACTGACCCGTCAACGCTGTCCTTACATTATCAGATATTCTGTCCTCTTCCCTTGGCCGCCTTTTTCTTGCTGAGTAGAATTGTGGATGTTGTTGCTTCACATGACGCTCCATATTGGATCGTAATGTGAACCTTGCAGTGCAGAAGTCACAGCCAAATGGCCTTTCAGTTCTAACATAATGCCATATTCATTAGCAATGTATCTATATTTTTATTATGTCTATTTACTATGATATTTATTTAGTTAAATAAAATAACGTCTACGCATTTTAGAAATATGAAATTAATAACTTGGATATACCAAATGATATTTGATATTGACTAACGATATTTGAATCTATCATTAAACAATAAAATAAATAAACCTACATATCATATCCTTCAAATCAAAACATTTATTCCCCGAGGCCTATCGTGAAACTAGATCTATCACATTTTATGATTATAATTGAGCTATAAGAAACTGTACTGTTTCTGTAGTGATGGGAAGTGAATTGGGCCTATATTTATTATTAGCATAGTTGATTGAAGTACATTACTGATTACTTGATATAAAATGTTAACTATTTTAGTATCTAAAATTCTTTATTTTGATTTTTCATCATTGAAAAAAATTATCTTTATGTACAGTTGGTGCCAACAATTTAAGATGGGGCAGGTGTTACAATTAAAATAGTAAAAGCAGTACAAGATATAAACATGTAATAAACTGGTTACCTAATTTACAATCAACATCATTTTACACTTTAATCTATAAATTATAACAAACAGAAAACCATTTATTATTTACATTTTATTCTTTACAAATATTAAATCATGTCTTGTGGTATAAATTAATAACTTCTAGAATAAAATAAGTTCTGACTGCCTGCGGTTTGTAAATGTGATTAAATTGAGCAACATTTGAGCTTTTCTTATAAAGGCAAAATAGAAGATCTTAATTTTCACATATTTTAAAATAACTTCTAGCAATTAATGAAATAATATTTTAAAATGTCTATAAAAATATAAAGTTAAAATAATTATAATTTTTTTTTGTTTATTTAATGGAATTTACAACTGTATACAAATACAACAAGTAAATATGCGCAAATATAAATAATGGCATGTACAGGCTTGAAGAGTTACTACCCAGTGGTAGCACTCTCTAAATAATTTTAAGTAAGAAGATCACGAGGCCATCTCCTTTTCAGACGCCTAGGAGGAATATCAGGAATCGAGAAAGAAGCAAGAGTGGAAACAAGCGGATTTGGATGGGACTGAAGTTTATCATGAAAGGATAGATATCTGGCTCGAGCTAAATCAGCGACATATGGTACATTAAGGTCTTTATGAATGGTTTTATTTGTGACAAAGTATGGAGCATTAAGGATTTTACGGAGGATTTTGGATTGTAAGGATTAGATACGATAGGAATTCGATTGGTTTGGTGGAGCCCCAAAGCTCAACTCCGTATGTCCATATAGGTCTTATTATAGTTATGTAGATAAGTCTTTTGTAATTAATAGAAAGTTTGGAGCGTTTGTCTTGTAAGTGTTGGAGCAGTCGGAAACGTCGAGCAGTTTCTTGTCGTTTCAGTCTAGTATGAGGATTCCAAGTAAGACGTTTATCCAAATGGAGTCCTAAGTAGCGGATTTGCTCAACAGGAATGAGTGGAGTATTATTGAAAGTTACTGTATGACAAGACGTCATAGGTTTACGACGGAGGGTAAAGGTGATTTGATGGGATTTGTTGGAATTTATTTTTATTCTCCAATTTTTACACCATTCTTCAAGGCTTGTGATATGTGATTGAAGAGTTTGGGATGCAATTAAAGGATCGTTATTAACAGATAGCAAACATGTGTCATCGGCGTAAGTGGTGATGACAGTGTCAGGATGGGTTGGGATGTCAGCTGTATAAACTGTGTAGAGGATGGGACCGAGGATACTACCTTGTGGAACGCCTGCAGATTGAGCAAAGAGGGATGAGAAGAAATTATTTTGGTTTACTTTGAAGTATCTATCAGTAAGATAGGAGCGGATAATGAGGAAGTATGTAGGGGATAGGACTTTTCGGAGTTTGTACAGAAGACCTGGGTACCAGACTCGATCAAACGCCTGTTCAACGTCGAGAAAGACTCCCGTGCAGTACATACCGCGCTCCAATGCAGAGGAGACTACATCAACCACACGGTGACATTGTTGGATAGTGGAATGCGATGTGCGGAATTAATTATAATTTCAATAATAATTATGATAGTGTCTTTTTTTATTTTAAACATGTTTTATCATTTTCACTTTTGGAAAATATTCATTTACAAGCATGTTAAAGTTTATTTTATATTCAATATAAAATAAACTATAACATGAACCACATCTTAAGTGTTTACTAAAAACTATTTATTATATCTAACCTTATTTCATTAACTAAGGAGATTACTTTTAATTTAAAACAGGTGAGGTTTAATATATTTCTTGCTGGCATTACAATAAAAATTGTTCAAATAAATAACAATTTAATTTTCCTAAGCAACAAAATGTCATTAAACTTTATTGAAAAGAAGTATGAAATATTCCTGCGATTCTGCCATTTATATTCAATTTGGCACTTCGAATATTGAAAATAATGTATAAATAAAAAAACAAACAAAAAAATTGTACCTCTTCAACCCATGGAGGGTCTTGAGTTGAGTAAGTCCTTTGTAAGGATGTGATGTTTATTGGTGCAAAAAGGTGGTTTAACAGAGATCACGCTCAACCGCCAGGTTTTTCGCCTTAATGAATTATGTGATTAACAGTACCCACTTTAAAGAGCCTGGGTGCACCCCCGGAAGGTTTCCCCATCCAAGGGTTGATCCACAGCTGATTTAACAAAATAACTAAATACCTGCCATTATATTGATACGTAAATAAGGTAATATTACATTATTTTGGGTCAGCTCCCGTTTGCTCCCCCCCCCCCGTTTGCTCACGTCATCTGCAGTTTTCAGTTACAACTTAGTCACCCCTAAAAACGTTTTACTTTAAAAAAAGGGTAAAAAATATAGGTACAGGTATAAAATATATGACAACATAAATATCCCACTGATATATCTACTTTAAAATTATACATCACCGAACTGACCTGTACCTTCGTTGTTTCTGCTTAGGAACTAGAACACCATTTTTGACAACCATCCTCACGTCTAGGTATGGATATGGAACAGGCTCTGCAGGAGTTCTTTTCGTTGAAAGGTCCAATGGTGCTTCTACAGTCATTGTACCTGCATCTCGCTTCTCAGACTCGTCATGATGGATAATACAACCTCTTAAATCAGTCTTTGTGGCTGAATGTCTGTTGCGAAGATGTCTCTCACAATTAGCTTTTGTTGTGAAAGCAAAATTGCAAAGAGAGCACTCATAGGGCCTGTCTCCATTATGACACCTCATGTGCCTATGGTAAATTTATCATTATTGTTAAGGAAGATCATTTAAGTTAAAAATAAACAAATAATTCTTTAAAACATACCGAAGGAGTCCATTTTTATCAGTATCTGCATAAGGACAAAGATTACATTGAAGGACCCCATACGACATATGAACTCTGTTATGTCCCTTGAGAGCTCTAAGATTCGGAAAAGTTGACCTAAAAACAAAAATAAAATAAAAATTTCAACAAAATTATTTTTCATTATTTACAATCGTTATGGCTCTCTTTAAATTTTAGGACGTAAAATAATATTTTTATACCAATTCATCATTTCTGATGGATGTGTTTAAAATTAATTAAATAAGATAGTATCGGTATTGGAGATGGAACAAGAAGATTGTGGAGTATGATTGCGACGGATGAATGAATAAATAGGTACTTGAACTTACGCCCTTAATCCAGCTCATGATTCAGTTTCAAGAGAGGATACATGAACATATTTACAAAAAAGTCCCAATAAGTTCTTATTGGCGATATAAAAAGTGTATAAGAGTCCTAAGGGAGTAATCCGCCTGAATGGAGGGAACCACTACTATTTTCAGCTGAGGAGGAGAGCAGCCCAACCCCACTTCGTTTTACACCGTTTATGGATGAAACTGTTAACATTTTTAAAAGAAGTACTAGAACAGTAGTTGGACAACCATGCAGTAACTTGCTCCCGATACTAGCTAGATTTGTCATCTTGGTTGAAGATATGGTATTAATTGCTGACTTCCAGGAAATCTTAAAAAGTATGTGAGATGGGAAAATAAGAACAAATAACGGAAGGGAGATAAATAAAGCAAATAGTAATGTGTTACAGTTGGGATGAATGAAAGAGAATGTACACACTATATGTCCCAGATAATTTTTAGATACCTAGCAATATAAAGGTACTTTGTAGTAGCTAAAAAATTAATCGACTGTGATAAAAAAAGGCTAGATATTTTTGAGGCGGTGTCCTTACCTTTCCTCATGTACGGAGCAGAGCATTGAGCAGAGCTTGATAAGAATATCAAAATCAATGAGATTCCTTAGAAAAACAGAAGGGATTTTGTATGGAATGGAATGATGAGAGAAGATTTCAAAGTTCCATTCTTAGAGAGGAGAGGCGTAAAAAACAGGTGGCAAGGTGGCCAATGCCAGGAGTCTGTCTAATCGGTCCAAGGGAGGCCCCAAATTGGATAGATTCTTATTAATTAAAGTATTAATATTAGAAGTGTTCTTGTTTCTCCTCATCTTGGTAAATCTGATTTCTAAACAACATAACATTGGTTCTTAAGCTTATTCCGAAGAACACCTTTAAAAAACCTTTTTTTTTCAGGACCTCATCTTAACGTTAGGTATGTTACGTTTTTATGTGACATACTGAAAACTATTTTAGGAATAACAAATAAAAAAGTCTGAAACCAGTAGGATTATTAAATGAGTTATTGAATAGAAATCGGGAATTTGGGGGTTGTAATGATAAAGTCAAAATTGTTTCGCTGATTCTAGCTAATGCGTGTACATACCTGGGTCCGCTTCGGGCCCCATTTCCTAAGAGTCACGAAGAGTTCCTAAGAGAATTTCAGGCTGAAGCCCCTCCCGCCCTCCAAAAGGGAATTTTTTTCATTGGTTCATATTTGTTACTGTGAGTGATCGGGGCTTAATACTTAAACGATCCCAATATGTTCTATGTAAAAAAATATCTCTAAACGTATTATTCTTTGTGTAATTATTTTTTTTAAGAGTTTCAAGGATCCCTCAAATATGAATTCATATACATAGTTAGTTTCTTTCTTTTTCTTCCGATGTAAATATCGTTTTATACATATACATATACATATATATATATATATATATATATATATATATATATATATATATATATATATATATATAATATTACAATGTTTTTTTTTATAATTCGACCTTTATATATATTTTAACTTAAGATATGAATTGATAGTCATGAAATTTCATGACCTATTATCCGACTATAATTCATATCTTAAGTTACATATATATATATATATGGTTTTGGGTTGAAGTCTCTCAAAATGAAATCCTGGATCTGTTTTTAATTTTGTGGATAGGTACCCGTCTGTTAAAAGCTATCCAATTAATAAAGAGATAAAATAAATTATTAACCCTAAAAAGATTTAAGTAAGAAGTAAATTAGAAATATTAGATTAGCCAATATTAGGAATTCATATCTATAATATTAGGATATTTGTTTATCATGCCTGGAGAATCATTAAAAATTTCTTTATTATTTGAATATCGGTAACTGACTAATAAATTATGATATTGTTGTTACCTGCACAATCTGCATGGGAATTCTCCTTTAAGCTTCATCCTTCTGTATTCTTGAATAAAGCAATCTTGTTCTTCATCTTCCCGTACCTCAGGAGACTTCTTGAGATGGAGGCATGCAAGGAACTCATTTTTTGATGTAAGATCGGCCATAGAATAACCATCAATGTTGTTGTTATTCTGTTCACCTTCTTTGGCTGTACAGTTGTGCCCGGGTGAACAGAACGAATTACAACCATTACAGAATCTGTCCTCCTGGAAATATTATTTATAATTTAATTATTAAGCTTAATCCTATAAATGTATAAATATATCTATTTATTAATTGCAATAAACATATTGAATCCGCAATACGTGCGTGTTCTTGTGTTTATATAAATGTTGATAGGCGTATCTATAGGGAAGGAAGGTGGAACAGTTAGCTCCCCCTAATGTTTAAATGCACCTTTAGATACGCTCTTGTATATCAATATATAAGTATACTTTTCAACTAACACCATTATTGTCCGCGTATTACACGGAGGACTTGTGATTGAAGGGTCGAAAATGCAAAAACGTGGATTAAGTGATGTTTGCTTCGAACCTAATTTTTTTCTGTTTCTTTGTGTCTAATGATGAAGTGATATAAATAGTACAATTAGTGAATGCTCTTCGTTACATAGGAATACAACTTAGCAATTTAGAAATAAAGAAAGAAAAAAAATCGTTCATATTTCACTTAGTCACAAGTGCCACAGATATATACATAATACTAAATTAAAAACACCGCGTTTCCAAATACTAGGTAATACTGATGTTTTTATTCATGAAAGTATATTTTATTTATTTGAAGTATACTTTTTTAGGAATGGACAAGTTGACCGCGAAGCACTGTTTTATCTCAACTGATCGAGGGTAAATTTCAACATAAAATATTCAATTTAATACTATATTTAATACTGTGAGATATGAATTCCAACATCCAAGATGAAATATTATATGTGGTAAAACTGACAACTAATAGTCATTTAAATTCTCTACGATTATTGGTTATTTATTTATACCACACAAACAACTAATCACTTCATATAACATTAGTTTTGGATTTCTAGTATCGCCCTCTATTATTTATTCAATTAGATACTGAATTGAATTTAAAAGAATGGTCTCGCATCAGTGTCAGTCGTCAATACCTCGAAGAAAAAAAGTATCGGAGAATAAATACTGAACGATGTCTCAATGATTTTCCATGTAAGTGTAAAATTTTGACAAGACATGTTGCATAGAAAATTAACTAAAATTTAAAACCAATATCAATACCTTATAAGTAAATGAATAGGAATTTTTAAACATTTAATTTCAATGTTATACTTGAATAGAAACAAAAAAAATGTCACGTTTCAACATTCACAACAATGATTTTCAATTTAATGATTTGTTCAAATATAAAAGAATTAAGAAAATTAAATATCTCTTTAACAAATGAATACCTGTATCTTAATTTCTAAAATTAATGTTCCGGCAAATTTTTTCCAATTAAAAAAAAATATCCTTGTGCGGGATTATTATCTATTTCACTGTGACCAATACCTATGCAATTTATTATATTTATATGAGTTTGCGTTGTTATTTGTTTGTAATATCTCAATGTAATAAAACTATTAATAATTAAAAATACTTTGGTATGAAAGTATTCATAAATTTATTTCGATCTTTTAAATAGAAAATGTATTAATCAACATTTGATTTGACGGAGCTCTGGATAGGAGACTGGAAGCAGAAATAAGACGTCTCTTTTCCATAATTCAAATATTTACATAGGAAGTAAAGTTTTTTCTAGTTTTGATATTTTTTCACCAATTTTTGCAAGTAGTTCGATTAAAAAAAAATAACCACTCTTAGTTTGTTGGTTTTTATTTATTAATGTACGTTTCGGGGAATCTCTGCCCTTCTCTTCAGCATCTTAATATTGGTAAATAATAAAAAAAAAAAAAAAAAACCAAATGCAATTATTTTATTAAATCGACCTATGGGCAAAAAATAGTGAAATTCTGAAGTTTTTATTTTGCTTATACATACCGAAATTCCTCTTATTAAATAAAGCTGGATATATTATTTGTAATCGTTATTTCTCTTAAATTCTCAGTTACTTAATAATTATTCAAATATTTAATTGTTTAACACTAAATAAATATTTAAAAGGAATATTTGTTTTATACTCACATCTGAATCACTGTCTTCTGTCGATCCTGGACTTCGGGAAATCATGCTCGAAGACAAATCTATAACAACAAATAAATTAAAAATTAGAGTATGTTAATTATTTAAGCTGCCTAATGCCATTTCCAGTGGAAGTTATAGTGGGTGAATACCATGACAAGGTTCAAAATCTACTAATGAAATACTTAATTTTAAAAATCGTTCGAAAAATGATATAGGATTTTTCAGGTCATGTTTTATAAGATTTTAAGTTATGATACAACAAATTCATTTTTACAATGCAAGAACGTCATATCCGGAAACTTTACGAATATCATACGTATATATTTTATCTGGGCAAATATCACGTGACGAAAACATATTTCATTAAAATAAGAAATAATCCAAAATGAAAGATTGTTTCCAAAATATAATCAGGTACTAAATCAATGGATATTTTAAATTTAAACTAAAAGATTTTGGCTCCTCTATGAAATCCATGGCCATCTTTTAGTTGCTAATCTTATCTTTAATGTACGCTTCATAGAACGTAGTTTCCAATATTATTTGCAATTCAATGTTGGTATCAAGAGAATGAGCAAAATATTCCCAACAGACAATATAACTAAATCACAGGCTGGTCTACGGGGGGGGGGGGGGTGGGGTTTTCAGACTGAAGTCCCTTCCCCCAAAAATGGTAAAATATAAAAAAATTATCTCAATAAAGTATTATTGTTCGTGTAATTACATTTAATAGGACTTCAAGAATTACTTAAACGCCATTTCGTACAGGTAGTTAGTTCCATTCTTTTTCTTCCAAAGTAATTATCGTTATATTTGAAAAAAAAAAAAAAAAAAAAGCTTTCAGACTGAAGCCCTCCTCCACAAAATGAAATACTGAATTCGCTAGTGAACTAAATGGTCGAGTAAAATCCATTTTAAAACATCCACGAGATTTATAGATTTTTTTTTTAATTTATAAAAATATTACAATTAACCATCCTAAAGACAATAGAAAATACATATCAAAATATACATTCACAACCATCAGTACATTATGGTAGATTGGGGTAACTATATCCGATTGATTAGAGCGTTAAGATTAATAATGTTAATACGAATGATGAATCAGTTCAGATGATGAAATCGCTATATGCTGGATGGCCCTCTGTAAAGATAACTTGATTGTAGGCGGTTTTAGTTCAGTCAAATTGTACGCGTTCTGTTCACCTGGGCACAATGGAGAATTCTAGTGAATTGTTTTATTAGGGTGCAGAGCATGAATCTCCAAACGAATCTTATGGTGCTCAACAATTTTTTTTTTTAGGGAAATGAAAAATCTAAAAATGTAAATCACGATTTATTTTTTTGCTTGAAACAAGCTTATTACGCAAAAAGTGGTCCTGTATCATAATAATAATAAGAAAATTGCACACTCTTGTATTTTTTTTTTTGACGACTTATAGTTTCGAACTTCGAACAATGAAAGAAAATTCGTCATTTTATATAAAAATTCTTTTCAATTAGGCTATCTATTAATACTATATGTTTTTTCCGTGTTTTTAGTTATTTAATCTGTTAATTTAATTTAGTTATTTTATCTCGCAGGGTCTTGGACCAGTGGCGCCGAGCACAAACAATTTAAAAATAATGAATACACTTTCTAAATTAATTGTTTATTCATTGGTGACGAACCTATATTTCGGAAGGAGTTCGAAAAATATTGAAACATGACGTTAAGTCAGTAAAATCTCAAGGATTTTTGGTGAAAATATGTTTTTGAAAGCAGATTTTTTTTATCACTTTATTTGAAAGTTTGCTGCTGGATGTGTGCGTACTTCACGGCATAAAAAAAACAAGTAACTTTCCGACTTTTTCAGTTAATCATCAATAGCTCCTAAATGAACATCCTAGCCAAAACTTCATGAATTTAAGAGCATTAAATTCTTGGTCAGATACGCACCTAAAATTGCAAATAAGGTCGAGAGTAACGACAGAAAAACGATAGTTTTTAAAATCTTCGAAATATAAGTTACTCTCTAAAACAAAAAGTTTGGTACTCTACGATTTATATTGGAAAGAATTTTAATTCAGAACAGCTATTTTCATAATAAAGACGTCATGGAAGTCACCGAAATAGATTTTTGGTTAGAGTTGGTAAATGTCGTCGTTCGATCGTCGATTTCGATAACATTCCTGGAACGAATTTACAATTCTGGTACGTATTCGACGTAGAATTTAATGTCCTTTAATTCTTTAAATGTAAAGGTTTTCACTAGAAAGCGGTGTTTTGGCGATATCAATCAATAACTGAAAAAGTCAGAAAATGTCTTCTTTTTTTTTTATGTTCTACAACGTAAGCTTATGTCGAGGGACTCTGAGAACTTGGTGTATTGATATTTGACGTTAAATGAAGCGGATAAAAAAATCTGCGTTTCATCGTTTATTTCCTCCAACAGACCATAATTTTACTGGCCTTAAGTGGTATCTGAAGGATAAAGTTGTTGTTTTTTTTTATGGGGAGACGGAGCCATCATCAGTTATGTCCCTGATCTTGACTTGTCTGAGAAAAAGTTACCTGGGATGTATCGATATAAGCATCTGCAATATCACTGGCTAGCCATGAGAAAAGCTCATCCAGCTTGAGCAGCTTGCAATAAACATGGCAGGGTCTTTAAGAATTCTGTCAATAGGAGAATATGAAGATAATCAATCTGAAGATGGAGGGAGGGGTGGATGTATATGTATGGTATATGGTAGAAATACATGGGGACCAGGGATCGAAGCGGGCAGGTGTGTTATGATGGGTCGCTATGACAACGCTCTCCGGATAATGGGAGCGATCGATAGAGGAGACGGGGAACCGCTCTCCTGTATCCAACCCTCAGGGACCTCCCACTCACAGCGGATAGATTCCCCTTCAGCTTCCATTTTATCAATACATCCAATTTGTTATTAAAACTTTTTTATTTATTTATATTTATATGATATTTACAACTGTATATATAAAAAAAATAATACATAAATTCGCACATGGATATAACGACATGAAACAAATGTTGAGAAACTACCCATTGGTAGCACTCTAATAATATGTCTATATTAGGAGATCACGTGGCCATCTTCTTTTCAGACGCCTCGGAGGTTTATGAGGAATTGAATAGGAAGCAAGGTTAGAAACAAGAGGGTTGGGATGGTTATGAAGTTTATTATGGAAGGACAGATATCTGTATTGGGCCAAATCTGATACATAAGGAACATTAAGTTCACTGTGGATGATTTTATTTGTAACAAAGTGAGGAGCATTGAGGATTTTACGAAGGATTTTGGATTGTAAGGATTAGATTTGATAGAGGAATTTGAAGGTTTGGTGGATCCCCATAGCTCAACTCCGTAAGTCCAAATAGGCCTTATTGTAGTCATGTAAATGAGTCTTTTGTAATTAATTGGAAGGTTAGAGGTTATTAAAACTTAAATAAAGTATGAGTTTATTTTTGTTTAGTAATTATTATTGCGGTATGTGTAGTCCCTGTGTAGTCACTTTTCAATACCTTCAATGTCCCTCACTACCTCTTCTCATCGGTGCAGACTTTTCGATTTTGATTTGGTAGGGAGAGCTGATATACCAAAAAAAACAAACAAAAAAAACGCAGGAGTTTTTATTGTATGTAAAAATTCGACAAACTTGTTAATGGTGTTGCCCAAATACGAGACCGAGATGAGTCTTGGTCTTGCGCAAGACACTAGTAACAGTCTTGCGGTTACCTATTAGCTTACTACTAGAGAGATATTACTGTAATTTTTTAGATATGAGAAACTAAATCTGAATGAAAAATTAGAAGAGTTAAATGCAAAAGTATATTGGTTACACCAATTCTTTACATATAGTAATTAAAATTGTCAAGTATTAGTAATTATTTTGGCTCAATTTTTATACAAAAAATCGATTTTTTTTTACCAGTCTTGGTCTTCGTCTTGCAGCAGATAGGCGGTATTGGTCTGTGCAATTGCAAAGTGCAAGACCAAGACCGATTATGGGCAACACTACTTGTTAAACGAACAAATATACTTAATATTGAATATTTAAAATTAATGTTCCGTGATAAAGACTCCTTTTTATCAAATTATTAAAAACCGCCTGAAACTTCGTAAATAGCTTCTTCTCATCGGAATCTACAACTATTTTATTAATGAAAATTCTCGGAATTGGGGCGTTTTAAACTTAGAGACCAGCAAACTTTGTCTATTTAATTATGTACTAAAAACTTGTAAAGACCCATTTACTTTCCACTTCGATCGTTAGATAATTTGATTACAAAATCTAGAAAAAAAAGGTGACCTGCCAAAATATTGGGCCGTTTGGCCTTTATGATCTCGTTATTTTGGGAGTGTAGGTCACGCCAAACGGCTCTATATTTTTAAAGGCCACCTTTTTCCCTATATATATATATTTGTATATTTGTAATATATAAATTTGTTTGCATGTTTCAATAGTAGTATGGATTTTTTGTTTGTTTTACTAATTAAATATACTTGAATATATCTATAAAAAAAAAATTAATTCATACCGCATTTTTTTTTTTAAGATTACAAACAAGGCGAAGGAGACACAGCTATTCATTTCAGCTAAAAATGAGTAATGTAAAAAAGTGAAAAATATGTTTGATATGTTAGTGTGTACAACCTCAAATAAAACGTTTTTCACAGTCCGATTAGTTCACCACGGATAATGTGATCAGAATATCCGGTAGAAATTGAGGGGTGATTGGATCATTAACATGTAATTTAATATCAATTTAATTTAATTTTAATCACATTGAAAAAAGGTTGTAAGGAAGGGAGCTCGAAAGAATGAACTCTGTCCTCATAGAACAGATAGTGAGAGACGTTTAAGATATTGGAAGGTGTAAGGACTTTGCATGCCACTAGTCTTGCCCAAAATCGGTCTTGGTCTTGCAAAGATCCAAGACCAAGACCAAGGCCGCCTAACTGTTGCAAGACCAAGACCAAGACAGGTAAAAAAAATCGATTTTTTGAATAAAAATTAAGGCAAAATAGTTACTAATACTTGACAATCTTAGTTACTATATGTAAATGATTGGTATCACTAATATAATTTTGCATTTAACTCCTCTAATTTTTCATTCGGGCTTAGTTAGGTCTTTTCTATCTAAAAAATTATAGTAATATCTCTATAGTAATAATCTAATAAGTAACTGCAAGACCATTGTGAGACTCTTGCGCAAGACCAAGACCATGACGAAGACTGAGTTTGCAAGACCAAGACTCATCTCGGTCTCGCATTTGGGCAACACTACATGCCACCATTAGAGTCCAAATTTTCCTCAAACTTACCTTCAGGTACTGGAGATGGCGGCATGGCTGGTCTAAAGGTCTTAACGTCCTGCATTGCATCTGAAATAGAAAAAAAATAAATAAATAACTTTCTTTAATAATTTTGTTCCTCACATATTCATTATTTCTGATATAGTCACTCTACTGTAGGAATACCTGAACTGTGGTATGCGAAACAGAAAAAAAAGATTCAAGTTAAAAATATCTTTTTTAAAACATTCAATGAGGAATATTATTTAATATTAAAAAAAGGAAGAAAGCAAAAATGAGTTTTCCTCTGGGACATTTAATTCCCAAAGAATAATGAAAATTAAAAATATAAGTGACATTTGACAAAATGACAGTAAAAAAAAAAAAAAATCAAATTGCAGAGTTATATAAACTTACAATTAAAATATCATTCGGCTTTAATCTGTTATTTTACTTATCTTGTATATTACTTTATCTTTATATGTATATATATATATTTTTTTTTTTTTCTTACTTGGATATTTTTCTTTATTTTCCTTTCTTATGTACATATTGTGTGAATGACTACTATAGCCCTAGTACCAATGCCTTTCAGTGTGGCAGACTGTATAATTACTCAATAAAAAAAAAAAAAAATTAAAATATAGCGCAAGCATAATTATGTTCACATATCTGCACTGGTAAGCGATATAAATAATAACCGCGAAATAATAGTAAAACAAGGCTGGCAACACTAAAATATGGAAATTGAATTCTTATATATATATATATATATTATATATATATATATATATATATAATATATATATATATATATATATATATATATATATATATATATATATTCGGAAGATTAATTGCTGAGGGTATGACACAAATATTACAGTTTGAATTAAGTTAAAGATGAGGTTTTGCGTAGGGAACTGCGTAAGGATTCCAAAACAAGGTAGCACGTATCATAAAGGATATTTTATAGGATGAAATATACAGATTTAGGTTTTGTGTTAAAAGAATTTAAAGAAAAGATGAGCAGGGGTGCCCATCCCCCCACAAGATCGAAAACGCAAGAAGCTACCCCCTCGCTCTTCCAAGATATTTTATTGCTCACTTTTCGTAAAACAGAGCAAGGGAAAGTAGAATTAATAAAATCGTAGATCAGATACAATTACACTTGTTGAGGTCTGTTCAATCTTTTCTCCTTGCCCCTTATACTGAAACTTTTCATTTTGAAAATTCGTAACCCCGTTGAAATGTGCCTCCCCCTAAAAAATCAAAAACCAGTCAAAATATACCCCCCTTAAAAAGTTTGATGGCGGGACTTGCGCACTGAACCCCCCTTCTGGGCAGCCCTGACTAGGAGTAAACAAATCAAAAAGGTTTTTTGGTTGTAAAGGTTTGAAAAAAGAATACACCTAGGAAATATTGCCATAAAAAAAAAAAAACGGATAGAAACACTTCGTCCTGAGCGTCTGTTGCTCTAGTGCCTTCTTTCAGTCTCCACTGGCTTCTAATACTAGTGATGCAGCTGGAAAAGTGGCACTGGGATCTCCTGGAGTCTTGCTTTGCCTTCCAGATGTGAGGGAAAAAGCCTGACTCGGAGATTCTTGGGCGAATGTATATTTTGTATATAGTTATGATTGTGTTTAGAAGTTTTTATTTTATTTTATTTGTTTATTTATTTTTTTTTATTTACCTTCTTCATCAGTATTATTTATTTACTTCTTATATTTATATTTCTTTCTTAATTATTTGTATATATTGTATGAATGAGAACTTTTAGCCCTCCAGCAGTGGCTGATTGTATTATTTCAATAAATAGATTTAAAAAAAAAAAAAAGAAAGAAACACTTCATCTCGCCATCACTGGATGTACCGATTATAGGAATAAACAGTTAATCATAATAATCTATTATTTTTAAGTTAGTAAAGATAAAAGCATTTAGTCTATCTCTGATAGCAAATAATATATATATTTTTTTTAAAGATGAAAATTTTACACTTTAATTATCATGAAATGAGGTAGTGAAGTCACCCCAAGTTATCTGAAAACGTAATGTAGTATGCAATGAAATGATGTTTGGCAATCCTTGTTCCTTAGTGATGAAATGAAAATATATGAATTGTAATAATGGCAATATCGCAAGTCAAGGTATCATTCCTAAACTAAGGATTGACGGATTTAATTAAATTTATTCAAGGAGCCTTCATTCATTTATTTCGGGGAAACCCAAGCTCATCTTGGAAATAAATTCTTTGCAAAGGAATTTAACGGAGCCATGATTTAATTTCGGTGCTAACGACTGGGGCGCCGTCCGATCTTCAGAGGCGCTTGCCGTTTGTTAGAAATAAAAAAAAAATACAAAACGTATTAAAATAATTAATTTTAACAAATCAATAAAGTAGCTGTATTAAAGAAATGTTGAATGAAATAAAATTCCAATGTTACGTAACAAAAAATGTTACACATTAAAAAAAAAAATTTTAAGGAGGGAGATGACGTCATCACCCGGAGGCGCCGAATGTCTAAGGACGGTACTGGCGGTTGGGAAGGGGGTACAATTTAAAAGAAATGAAGTTGATTCATTTAGTGCTCTTCTGAATTTTTTATTTACTTATTTTAATTTATTTTTTCTCGTCTAATAAACACGCGTTTATCCTTTCTAGGGTTTCCTACTAGTCCACATCCTCTCCATTTCTTAACTCGTCTCTCTCTTCCGATCGTCTGTCCATTTTTTCCCTTCTCTCCTCATATTTTCCAATACGAGAACCGTAATATATTTTTTAATTTCACTACTATTATTATTATTTTTATATTTTATGTATTTACTGAAACAAAAATGTTTTTTTTCGGTAGAAAAATCGTATTTATTGATTTTTTGACGTGGGGTTAAATTAATTTTCTGAAGTAGTTTTTAACCGATCATTGCGATAGTTATTTCTCTATTCCTTGTCTTAAATATTTATTTTACTTAATAATTTTGAGCTAGGTACTGAATTGATTTTTTATTTTATTTTTTGGATGGAGGTCAACCCGGAAGCTCATGCCTTAATGAAACTAAAAATGTCTTCTCATCGCATAATCAATATTTTTTCTTGTGTATCCATTTTAATATGAATACAATAGCCTGTAAAATATCTCTCAGTTGTCTCATCTGTAGAGACGCGTTCGATCTCTAAATCTACTTCTGAGTATCTCAACGCGAAGAAAGGGGGTGGCGTTAATCCACTCTATATTCCTGTATTATAAAAAGTGGATCGTTAAACGAGTGATTAGAGAGGCAAGGAACATATGCTGTGTTCATAAACCAGGTGCATCGTCATGGAGCTACTGACTCACGTCTACCAACTTCAGCAATCACATTAGCTGTCTCTACGTTAGACCTCACAATCAGCTAGAGCCCAGTCAAAGGTGAAGGATGATTTTCAAATCGGACCCCATAGAATCATTTCACTCATTTTAATAATCAATTTGCATAATATGATAATAAACAAACTGTTAAAATATTCACCTGCTACTTCAACGTCAAAGACTGAATGCCCTTGTAAGCATCCTTCATCGTCTTTAATTTTTTCGGTTATTCAATTTCAGTCTTTTTACGAAAAGAATCAGAGAGTGCATCTTATATATATATGCGCATATAGTGCATCTTATGTATATCTTATAGCATTTTATACCTCGAAATCATTTTTAAAAACTTCACAAAAAAAAATTATTTTTATTTAAAAGTATTAAGAAAATATTGCAATTGTATTGGAAGGAGTACGAAATTAAAAAAAAAAATAGCGTCTTTTTTCATCCCGAAAACAATGATGCTCAACTCCTCAATATATTCCTGATGCTGAAGAGTATAATGATTTTCAACCATTAATTATGCTAGTAGATTTGAACTTGGGAAGGAGATAGAAATAATATAGACAAATATTTAATAATAAAATTTTCTGTTAAGTATTATAGTACAATTATTCAAGAGGTTAACCAATCAATACTAATTATTTATCTATGAAATAAAAAATATTCTTAATTCGGCAAATAAAAAATTTATTAACATAAGCCGACCAATTTATAGCAAAGTAATTATACAAATATAAATTTAAATGTTCTCCTCACTGTTGAAACTTAGTTACTTAATAAATTTTTGATTATTACTTATTTGTTATTTTGTTTCTGTTTACTTTGTATGTTTTTGTACATACAGGGTGAATATGATCTTACCTCAATATAACCAATGTCCAAGTGACAGAATGTTGTAATATTCAATTAAAAAAAACGACAGATCACTTGCTATCTTATTCAAAAATTTACTTATTCAACATTAAAGGTTGAATCCAGTGAGGTAAAAAAAACAAAGTGCATTTTGGATAAAAAAACAAAACAAATGAAAACTAAAGGGGCATAAAATAAATTCCGCTTTAGTTCGAAAAAAAATATTCAAAATCCACCGAATCAAGTCAATGACATTGTTTAAAAAACTATTTCATTGTACTTGTGTGAAAGAAGAATAGAAATATAAAAATATTTAAAGGATGTGTAAAACATATGTTTATAACCTTAAATACACTAACTGCAGTTTAATAACTCTCGATCCGATATTGTATCGGAAAAATATACTTCGTCGATTTATTAAAAAAAAAAAATTTCCCTTTGTGAAATCTCATTATACACTTAGTGTGACGACTTTTAACCTATCGATGCTGTATTTAAAAGTAAGCAACAGTGCTTAGGCATGTTTTCCAAGGGTAAAAAAATAATAATTTAAATACATGTAACAAGTATTAGAGATTTAGTAACTATAATTTTTACTATGTAGTACGATCCTTACTTATTCATAATTAAGTATATGTACTTTCAAATCTCTCTTAGTCTATAGAGCTAAGAGACTGAAGTTATGTGATTCAAATAGACTCATGCAGTTACATATAAGGTTTTTATAGGCTTCAGTCGATATTATAAATAGGGTTTATGTTATTGTGACGGTCTTAATGAAAATATGTATTTAGGAATATGACCGAAATTCGAAAATATGTTGTATAGCCTTCTTGTAATAGCCCAATTTTGCCTGACACAAATTGCTTGTCCAAGTAGAGTGGTA